AACCCCAGCTACCCATTGCTCACAGCAGGGAAGTTCCTAAAGCACACCTTTGTATGGAACTTGGGCTTTATCTCTAGTTGATTACTACTTCTGAACTTCACACAGAGAGATTCTTGTGAGTAAGATAAGCCTATAACAGTGAGACAATTTCTGAAAACTCCCTACAGAGTTGTATCCAAAGAGCTCATTTTGTGTTAGTATTTTCCTTTTCTTCTTCCTACAACAGCTAGCCCAATAAAGCCCAAGGGAGGGAATCTTCACATCTGTCAACTGACTTTTCTAGTTCTTCAGATATCTTGGAAAAGATAGGTGTGACGAAGATTTAAAAACCTAAGGGCACCTCAAGGTGTGTAAAATCTGCTATTCTTCATCACCCTTTACATCAGGGAAGACAGTGACTGGTGAAGATAGAGAAGCAATTGCTGACAATTTCAACTAATGGGGGAATGGGTCCTCCCCTCCCTTCCAGTCCTATAACTGAATAGGGTGCAGGAGGAGGGATATATAGCAAGGAACTTGGAGAGGTTGGTAGGAAATCTGCAATCAGACATGCCTCATTCCTACCACAGACTAAAATTGACTTTCTTGTCCCTAGTGATGTGCCTAAAGAGAGAAAGCAGCAAAACTGATGAGTCAACAACACATGCCTTATTTACCATACATTTGCATACCCACAATCAAGACAGCATTATTTGACAGTGACTCAGAATTTAGACAACAAATGCAGGATAAGGATCGGCCATGAAGGCAGTTAATTTTTGCTGATTGATGAATGGGTAGATAGATTTTTAACTCTGCAATGGGGAAGGGCCCTTAGGCTCTGTTTAAATAGAGCTTCCCTAATTTCTTACAGCAAGAAAGGTTATAAATGGATGCCACCAATATGCCCCCTTATGGTGATTGGTTCTTGGATCTGGACTTGTAAAGTTTCCAAATGCATATAGTAATGTGTTAAATACATAATGAGGGTGTCTGTGTATGCATAATACATTGTACATCAATACAAATCCATGCTGGGAAGAGAGAGCATGATGCGACCTTGTGTCAAATGTCTCCATCCTTATCCAGAAACAGTTACTTGACTTGGTGTCAAATCTGTCTCAGTCCTTATCCATAAACAGTTTGCTTTTCAATGTTTTGCACCAGCCAGTATTCATCAGTAAAATAGTGATATTTTACACATATAAATTAAACAATAGTGCGATGGCCTTTTTAAAACAACAAACCATGAACCCACTTTAGATTTTTTTTTTAAATGCTTTTTGTTACTGTATATTGTTATGTCATTGAACTATTCTTGATTTGCTTCCTGTTTAAACTTCAGAATATTTGAAGACAATCTATTTTTGCCTTCTAAAGACAGCTTACACATAAGTCCTGCCTTATTAACTAATCTCCAAATTATTTTGCATATTGAGTAAGAGCTCTTGTATTTTTGTCATTGTGATCCTCAGAGGAATGGAACTAGAATACTTTGATTTTATCCAGGTTGTTATCATTTACACAAATTCTTCATGTCACTTCTACTACTTTGGGCAGGAGATCGATGTTTGTGGGAAGCAAGTTGCTCTGCAGTTCCATCAATCAGAAATTAGGAGTCACTTCTGACAGATTTCTGCCTCACCAGCATTGGCACCAGAAGGAGCCACATCATGTGCCCCTCCTATTTGATCTTCCCATCTCCTGCCTTACAAGCCGTGCCTGGCAAACAGCCAGGCAAATGTGAAAATGACAGAGCAGGATGCCATAAAGTCTCCCCACTCCCCAATTAGATTTCAAACAGTCCAAAGTCTAACTCAGTGCCTCATTGTTTTACTGCCATTTAGACATATCTGCAACATATCCCCCCCTCATTTTTGGCAATTATCTGGGTACATGGTGAAGCAATCAAAATATTCCATCACTCTGTGTGCCAAAATACCTTTGAAGTGTGGTTAGGATTCTCCATTTTCTACAATATCTTTGTCCTAGTGATAGCCCTGGGAAGCCTGACTACAAATGAAAGTGTCTATCTCTTAAATAGCCTATTTATCACATGCAGGATGAGGATACAGACCTAATTTAAACAGAATATTCTGACTTTAAATCTATTGCCCAAGACCCTTGCCATCTCTCTAAGTGCTGATAAGGAGGAGCAGGTTCTCACAAACAGGCCACCATTGGGAGACAGTCCCCTACGTGTAATTTGGTGACATTCTCTGGGCTCCCTGGAGCTGCTGTGTAGTGATAACCATAAGAACAATGACTTCCAATAGGCTAGAAAGATATGGTTATATATTCCAGAGCTCTGCTGGCTAAAAATAACTGTGATTTATGCTACTTCTTCTTCTTGCAACCACACCTACTATACATCAGATATTACCAGCTGCCACACATTACATGGTTATTTATTTATTGGACTTTTCATCTGATTTAATGTTTGGCTGTTCATATTATTTAATGTTTTTAGCTAATTTAATTTTTTAGCTGATTTAATGTTTTAGTTGTTTCTAATGTTTTTTCCGAGTTTTGAACCTCATCCACAATCCATTGAAATTGGACAGACAATTTTAAATAGCAAGAAGTCTTGAGGTCTCTGTTGAAGAATTGTTTTGTCTTTTTGCAGGGGGCACACTAAGGTTGCACACAAAAAATGATTCTCCATATTTTTGTGTAAAGATCAGTACCTTCAGAATGAAATCTTGTGCCCATTGACAAGACACTAAATTCAATAGTTCTTACTTCAGAGTCAGTGTAAGATCTTTTATAGCAGGGGTGTCTAACTCATGGAGTCACAGCAGCATCATGTGACATATAGGGACTTCATTAAACTGGGAGTGGGCATGGCTAGCACATGGTGCATCCAACCCATGGGCTGGCAGTTTGACAGCCCTGTTCTATAGTGCTCATAATTTATCTAAGAGGCTACTGAAAACAGTGTGTAAAATTGTAGCTGGTTTCTTTTGACCAACTTCTTCTATACCAGTTACATGGTACAACAGAGTCAGAGGAACAGAATGCTTCAAAATATATTTTAGTACAAAGAGTGCTCTATTTATAAACAGAGGTTATGTTCCAAGTGGCTGTTTGTAAATGTATATGTTGCAAGTCCAAACAAGCATAGATATGCATCACACTGAAAACTCTCAACTTTTGGGACCTTGTAGGTTGGAATTGTGGACAGGTTTATTCATAATAGCAAAAGTTCATAACCAGGGGTAGGATTCAAATTTTTAAACAACCAGTTCTGTGGGCGTGGCTAGGTAGGCATGGCCATGTGACTGGGTGGGTGTGTCTTCTTTTCTTTTTTTGCATCACCCCCCCCTGTTTTTTTGGGCCTCCTGGGCCTCAGGAGGGATGTTTTTGCTTCCAGGAAGCTTCCCTGGGGCCCAGAAAGGCAAAAAATTGAGCACAGGGGTGGTGGGCAGCTCCCCCTGCACTCCATTTTTGGGGCTCCTGGGTGAAGCAGTAAGAGAGCAAGAGGGATCATCAGAACAGCTGATCATCAGGAGGGGGGAAAGAAATACCTTAAGGAGTGACTGGGCAGGGAGAATACAGTCAGCGATGTTGGGCATGTGTGTAATGTCGTGCATGCGCGATAAGGACTGACTGGGCGGGGAGGGGAGGGAAGGGAAGGAGCCAGCCAGGGACATGATTTGCCAGTTCTCTGAACTGCACAGAATCATAACAACTGGTTCTACAGAACCAGTCCGAACAGTAGAATCCCACCCCTGGTCATAACTCCAAAGATTGTAAGGAGACTAATGTCTGTATTTCTTTAAAACAATATTTCCTTACTAGATGTCTCTTAGTTCTTTTAGGTTTTAACTAACCCCTGTTGTCATTCTGGGCAGAAATGATGTTAGATGAAATGGGATTTGTAATGTTATACACCTGAAGGATATCAAACTGAGTCAGGTGACTTAATACAAAAGCTTTGCATCTTCTCCTTTTCCTTTGTAAATCAAGGGGTTGAGGAAACATGTATGATTTGTATTATTCTTGGATCAAGAGCTCCCTCTGTTGGTAATAGCTCATTGTTAACATATCAGACTAAGACTGTTCAGTTTAGGATTTTGGTCTAGTTTAGTATTTCTCAACCTTGATACCTTTAAGATATATAAACTTCAATTCCCAGATTTCCTCAAGTAGTATAGGCAGAAAAAAAACATGTAAAATTTAGCTTTTTTTAAAAAGGAAAATCCTTCAGAGAGTTCACTTTTAAAGCTACAACTCACTGCACTTTGTGTACACATAGGGGGTAGGGATGGCGAAGCTGCTTCCTTCCAGATGTTTCATGCTATTGCAAGGAACCCCTTGGCTGAATGCTGCAGATTTGGAGACTTTATTTTTAAAGCTAGCATTGCCAGGTGTTTTTTTTTTTTTTTGCCATGCAATGCTCTTGTAGTTATACATGAATTAACAAAAGTAATTGTAATTATTCCAGACAGTAGCACTCTTCTCCTCAGAAGCTCGCTCTAAAAAATTGCTCCCATGCAGTCAGTTAGCATTTTCACATTATAGAGGTAATGTCACAGAAAGCAAAAGACATAAAAACACCACCTTTATAAGGCCAGCTGAAGAAATCATTTTAAGCTTTCAGATTGGGGTTAGGGTTAAGATAAATAAAGTTTTGTCTAATCCCATCTGTTAAGGGATCTATTTATGTGACTAGCCTAGAAACAAAGTCAACTTTAATAGGTTTTAATTTATATTAGAAATAGATATTAGAAATCCTTGCCATCTAATTTTGGCAAATGAGGCCACAACATTCCCTCTCATGCTGAGCAAATACAATATAGTAAATACCACATTAAATTACTAACAATTTGCTTCTGTTCATGATATCAGGATCAGTTGCTTGAGAAGGTCACTTCACTCTGCTTAATGGAAGGGCCAACTTTCTCAGAAAGGGATGAGTTATCTGGCTGATGATTTGCATGTTTATCTGGTTCCTTGCCAAGATTCAAAATGTAATCTGCTAAAAATGTAGCTCTTTTACCACCCCTCTTCCTTTGTAGATGAAGGCAAACAATTAGATTTCTCAGATCAATCAACTAATCTCTTCCACTATGAACCACGTCTTACTCATTTGAAGGTTTATACATCTGAAATGTAAGTATATGGGACAGCTACTAACTTGTAGAAGAGCTCAGCGTAGGAAAATAAGACAGTCAAGCACATAGACCTGATGCATCAGCAAGCTTGGAGAAACATTTTAATTTGTCAATAGTTAAAATATTTACTTAGATACCTGAGAGGTATATACTGTATACTGTGTAGGTATAATGTGTAGATGGTTGTATATTTGTCTATTTTCCAACTAGTAGTTTTTGAGACTGTTGAGGTATTCCCCATTAGGAGAATGAGTGTACTCAGGGAAACATAGTGAGAGTGATGTTGAATAACACACGACCAGCATACAGATACACTGAATAGTAAAATGTAGGTTTTACTTCCAGTAAATGGGTAAACAAAGTCCAAAAAACAGTCCAAATCATACACGCTTAAAGCAGTTAGTATCAGTCCAGGGATAATCCAAAAACCAAGTCAAGTATCATAAACAGAGTTCAGTAAACGGAGTTTGCGAACAGTTGCAAGACTCATAGCAATCCAACCAGAACGACGATCGGGCAAAATGGCAAAACAGGAAATGCAAGGAGAAAGAAACCAGGTTTCTGGCTCCATCTTATGGTGATTGGAGGAACCTCAGCCAATCACAATTACAGCATTCTCTTAAAGATACAGTATTAAATGACTATCCTGGTTTATATATTTCCAACCCAACTGTTAGGTGACTATCATTCCTAACAGAGGCACTCCAACTATATTGAACTACAAACTCTAGAATTCCAGACTGTCTAAATTGGCTGCCAGTTTTGAGAACTATTGTCCAATGTATCTGGTAGGTGCTACATTGCTAAAATAGCTAAGAACAGTCAACTTTTGCAATATTTGGGGGAGGTTGGATTTCTTTTTAAGCTCTATCTCTATTGGTTCATATTAGTATAATGTTATTATCTTTTCCATAAACTACTCAGAGTTCTTTTAGAGCAGGGGTGTCAAACTCAAGGTCTGGGGGCCTAATCCGGCCATGGGCTGATTAGGGCTGGCCCACAAGGCCGCCCTGGAAACAGCAAAGGACCAGCCTGCGGTGCTCCTGTGGCCCTCCCGAACTCCGTTTTCACTGGCAGAGGCATTCAGGAAGCTGTTGCAGCTGAAAACAGAGTTTGGGAACCTGTTTTGCTGGCAGAGCACTCAGGCCACCACAGGTGCCCCCAAAATGAGTGACATACCCCAGCCATGCCCACCCCAGCCTCCCAAGGTCAAACACAACCCTGATGTGGTTCTCAATGAAATCACCCCTGTTTTAGAGTAGAGCTACATAAAAACACCAGTAATAAATGAACAAGCAAACAAACAACGCCTTTTTTTTGTCAAACAAGGTACTTTCATCAAACATTATCAAAAATCTTAGGGTCTCTTCAACCAACTTGGGCCACATAATTTATCCTGTATTTCTGTGGATTCAAAAAAGGTGGCCTTTCAGGACTAACTATTTCCACCCATCATATTTTCATATAATGCAAGATTACAAAGACTCCATCAGGCTGAATGTGCAGTAACTTTAGGGAATTAAACCAGGTAGTGCTTCCCAAGGCTTTGAAAAGACCTTTTGGGAAATTAAGAAATTAAAATGGGGTAGAACCATTTTAATGGGGTTCTCAACCTATAGTCTGAGGACCCCTGGGGGAGGGGGGTCACGGGGAGCCTGTGAAGGCTTGAAGAAGTGTTAGGATTTAAATTTTGAGTTAAGTATTGGGGGTCCATAGCCACGAAAGGTATTTAAAGGTGTTGAAGGAAAGGTTGAGAACAACGAGCAGAATATTTCTGCAACTATCAACTTAAGTGAGTCCTGAGAGGTCCATTAATATTACATAAAGAATTTTTTTCCCTTTTCCCAGGAATGAGGAGACAGGATAGGGCTCATTCCTGAGTTATAGCTCAAGAAGTATCAGCAATTGGAAGTAAATACTAAGAGAACAGTACTATGAAAAGGTCAATCAAAGCTATCGGTCCTTTGATTGATTTTGCTAATTTTACAAGGTGGGAGAAAGATTATATGCTTGGGAGAGAGCTTTCTAAGAGTTTATCTGACCTAAACATAACCCCCTAATTGTATTATCAAAGAAGGCAAGCTCCAAATCCTGAATATGATCCCATAAAACCTTTTGATTACCGTGAAGAAGTTATGGAAAATCCAAGAAATGACCTGTATGCTTCTGAAATATTTGGCATGGAGGAAGATATGACAGCATTGTCAGAGTCAACCAGCCAGCCGGCTGGGGTTGCCCGTCTGAAACAGGTATGGGCTGGGGTTTGCATCTTGTGCCTGAAACACAAACAAAACTGATCTGGACCTGGGTTATTGGGGATATAGGGAGGAAGGAGAGAAACAGCTGGATTTGGTGACATGGGTCTATTTGGTAATAAATTTCAGAGCACCATTATCTCATCACTTTTAGAAAAACTAGAATTTGGCAAATGTATAATGTGAGTTTCCAGATCGGCTTTAGTATTGCTGGAAGGCAACACTCATGTTAATCTCCCTTAATTGTCATGAAACATTTGCCTTTTCCCTTGCAACTTCTCCCTTTTCTCTTACCATTCTGTCCTAGATGTGGCTTTCTGGGCTTCTTAGATCTTGTGGAGATGCTTCATGTATTCTTTTTCCCAGCAGTGGTTCCTTTATTATTTATCCTTTAATTGTCAATAGACATAGGAAGGTTGGTAGTTGGTTGGTCAATCAGTAGATTGATGCAGTTCATGTCAGAGATGCTCAGTGCAGATGAGAAAAAGATGCTCCTTTCTGGAAAAATTCCAATAAGGATCAATTGGATTAGGCCCAGCCTCTACTTTTGTTCATGCACTCGGTTCCCAGACAGAGGGTAGGGTGACATTAAAAAGGAAAGGTCTATATCTGATTCTTCTTTTCTTGTTTGCAGGCTGAAGATGTTTTAAAGAGCAAAAGGACTGAAAGACCAAAGAAACAGCCAATACAGAAAGCTGGAGATGGGTTGAAAAAACAAAAAAAGAGTTTGAAGAAAAAGAAATACCAAAGTCAAAAGGAGTTTGTTGTAGGTATGACTTTGCTATTACATATCAACAATTACAGGGGGGTGGAGAAGAATGATAGAATTTTCTAACAGTTTCTCAATAAGCAAGGGCTAGATTGGTAGCCATGTAATCTGCTTTACCAAAAGTAACCCTTTGTCAAGTTCAAGATAAATGGAAAGAAAATTAGCTAAGAAATGAATGAAGGAAAACTGGGAAAATGTTTATCCACCAGTAAGCAAGGAGCTTTAGTGAGATTATATTTAGTTGCATTATTTTTCTAAAGTTGAAAATACTCATTTAAATTGGCAGGGGCAAGATTTTAGCACATTTATGCCATCATCAGTCTCCTTTCCTGATGAAGCTTCCTGGTTTTCCTTTAGTTTTTCTGGCCACTACTATAAAGAAATCATTGGTAGACTAGGGCACTGATGATGTTACTTAGTTGGGTACAAAACATCTGCAATCAATAACCAGCTCAGAGACCACCAAGGATCATCAACTCTGAGCTATGTATATTCTCTTCTATTGGATATCATTGTTGAAGCCTCAGGGGAAGGAACACCATTGTAAGCATTAAAAAGATTGTGTGAATCAGTCAGATCTCTTGCCGAATAACGATAGAGCACCATTTAAAGTACAAAAGAAAATTCCAAATCATTTACAAATAAAGCACTATAGAAGGACTCACTCTCTTTCCACATACAAAAAAGCAGTTAATTGGATCGAATATTTCAAAAATGTTTTTGGGGAAATACTTCAGAATTTACATGAGGGTAGCACCTCTGGGTGACATGATAAATCAGCACATCTTTTTCAGGCTTTTTCAGATGTGGGGTTTTTGACAAGCTCATGAACTTCAGTGGTTTTTTTTTTTTAACCAGTTACATATTTCGAGGCTGAGACAGAAACCTAAAGACCAGCTGCTTTAATGAATAGCTGGGAGAGGTGCTGCTTGCCTGTGAGTTCTAAGGTACTTAATTTTCTAAGTATGCTCAGCCCTAATGATCTGTTGGATAAATTCTCTTAATGGAAAGCTTTGGTGGGCTGATTTTTTTATAAAATAAAAGTATAAGAGCAGATATATAGAGTAAAAGAGCAGATACTTCAACAGATCTGGGGGGGAGACAGGTGGGACAAGGTTCCTTCTTAAGGTATAGATTTGGGGAACAAAAAAACTCAACTGTTTTTATCACTTTGTTCCCAAATGCCTGTGAATTGTGTACTATTACGCAGTTCTCTGTAGCATAGGCTTAATCCTACAATTAATAATTTTAAAATCTCTGTGAAGTCATCCCCCACAAATGAGTTACAAAAGGTAATTTTAATCCCAGCTATAGATCTGTGGAATAAAGCCAAATAAAAATACTTGTTTCTTACAGGGAAGCCCAGAGAGAAAATAATTATTAGGAAAACAATTGCTCACTTCAAGGGGGAACCCACATCAGCCAGCATGGAAGAGCAAACCCACAAGAGAGATTCAGGGCAAGAAGATGTTGAAGTAGAACCTATTAGCTGTCTTGTAGAGGAACAAGGAGAAGAAGAAGAAAGAGAAGGTGACCAAAGTCTTCCTGATTCTAGCATTTTTATGGAGGAGCATCCCCTGACACTTGATATGAACCAAACGTTTAGCGAAGAGGTTGGCAATATTTCTGGATTTCATCCAGGACCTGTTAGTGAAACATCCATTGCTACTTACAAAGCAGTCTCCACTGCAAATGGTTTCCAGGCTGATGCAGAGGAGGGAAATCAGCTAATGGAGGTAAGCTTTGCTTCCCACCCCCCCTCCCAAATTAGAGGCTCATTTAAACTTTCCTTACATAATTTATGTTTATTGTAGCTTATGATAAAATATAAAAAGCTAACTATTCATCGCCACCTTTTTATCAGATTTATCTGAATAAGAAGTGGACATTGTTTATTCTCTGCCAGGCTAACAGCAGATTTTCATGAATGTCTGATGAAAAGTAAGCTTCATTGCCTTAGTAGGATTTCCTCCAACATTTATGTGTGGAACTACAATGCTTACTAGGATATTCCAAGCAGGGGTGGGATTCTACCGGTTCTGTCCGGTTCTATAGAACCGGATGTTAGGGCTCCCAGTAGTTCAGAGAACTGGTAAAATGGCCCCCTGGCTGGCCCCACCCCTCTCTGCCTGCTTCTCCGCTCCCTGCCCAGTCAGTCCCTATTGCACATGTGCAACATTGTGCACATGCGCAACATGCCTACAGCCTGCTTTTGCCCGCCAGGCCAGTCATTGCTGCCTGCCTTTCGCTCATGGGCAGCAGAAAAGCAGCCCGGTTGAATCCCATTTCTCTCTGCTGCCCGGGAGCTGTTTCCTGTAAGCTTTTCGCTCTGCTGGGAGAGGCTCTCCCAGCAAGAGCAGGTGAAAGAAACAGCCCGGAGTCAATCTGCCTGCTCATAGGTAAGCCTGCCCTTCCCCCACTGTCCCTGGGGCTCCCCGGGCCTCACCCAGCCTACCTAGCTGCCCTCCCCAACATCCCCAGGCTTGGCTGGCCGGCTAAGCCGCCACGCAGTACTCTCCCAGCTCTCCTTACCTTGTGGCAGGCGGCGGATCCGGCCGCCGCCCATAAGCAGTGCCATCAAATAGGAGGCAGCCAGGTCTGCTGCCTCTGCCGCCCATGGAGGTGTTTTGGGAGGGCTGGAGTGTGTGTGTGTGTGTATGTATGTGTATGTGTGTGTGTGCTCATGGCCCTGCTTTAAGCTCGTGGAGGTGCTTAAAGCAGCAGGGCCAGGAGCACCCGCTGCCCCAGTCATCGCTGCACACAGAGCGGAGGTGCTTTGGGAGGGCTGGTGTGTGTGTGTGTGTGTGTGTGTGTGTGTGTGCTTTTATACATGGAATTCTTAGCCTTCGCCTTGGTCTTCCCCGGCGACCCACTCGGAGCAATGGTTTGCCATCGCTGCATGGAGGTGCTTTGGAAGAGCTGGGGTGGTGTGTGTGTGCTCATGGCCCTGCTTTAAGCACATGGGGCTTAAAGCAGCAAGGCCAGGAGAACCCACTGCCTCAGCCGTCGCTGCATGTGGGGGTGCTTTGGGAGGGCTGCGGCGTGTGTGTGTGTGTGTGTGTGTGTGTGTGTGCTTTTATATGTGGAATTCTTAGCCTTCACCTTGGTCTTCCCCAGCGACCCATTCAGAGTGATGGTTTGCCGTCGCAGGACGTGGAGCAGAGGTGCTTTGGGAGGGCTGGAGCAGGGTGTGTGTGTGTGTGTGTGTGTGTGTGTGT